AAATTTTTAAATGATTCAACATGTTGGCATTAAAAGATACTACAGGTCTCATTAAGCGTATGGGCAGCTCCTGCAGGGCTTTCTACTTTGAGTTGTCTATTATGGAAATATAAACTCCACTCTTTTACTACTTTTGCTAGGTTGACAGTAGATTATATCACTTGGATTCAGCTGCTCCAAAAAGGTCCGATATCTTTTTGTATCGTAAAGAACTGCCAGTATGCTGACTCCACCGCACTTCGGCACTCATGCATCTGTTGTTATGCCGTACCAGTGGTAGGCTTTAACATTTACTAATCAAACAAAGAATTTAAAATGGGAAAAATTCACTTGCGTGGTAAGCAAAGGGAAGTAAAACCCGGGAACTTAGCGTGAGACACAGCACAGTTTTGACTTTTGTTTGCATAAATGAATAAGAAAATATTACAATCGCCAGAAAATTTATCAAAAGAAAAGCCATGCGGCGAGCTCCAAATGTGGCTCTAGCTGCTCTTGCATTTAGAGTACGACGCGTTTGAAAACTTCTGCGTTTGATTGCTGACTCATCTACGCAACCAAAATGATCACTAGTAAACAAGCTGAACGGTCACATGAGCAACGGTCAAGTATGACAGATTTAGCAAAATAAAACTAGATTTGAGACGAAGTGAAAAATCCAATAAAAAAAAATTTACGCATTGTTTTTGGGATGCAGTCTACATCGAGCGTCATTTTTTGGCCATCTGGTTTCACGGCGCACAAAGCATCGTTTCCAAAATATCGTTTCAACAGGCGGATTCGCACTTCTCTTGCCTGGAAAAACAACTGTGCAACTTTCGAAACTGCATAAGTGAGGAAATAAATTAGCTAAAAGCAGCAACGTAAAATGCATTTTCAATTCCCATTCCCCACGCATGCAGGTGGCAATCAGCACAAGTCACAGTCGCATGTGTACCACGTTTTTACCACAACATAGCGAGCCAAATATTTTGCTGTCACTTCCAGTGAACATATGACGTTGGCCAATGGACGTTCTATGGAAAGAAGCTGCATTCTAAATATTCACTACGAAAAACAGTCAGAAATTAAAGCACATATATCAAAAAATAAACACAGAAATGCAAAAAATATAAAAATATAAAAACCAAATGTATCAAAACGGAAGCAGAAGAATGCAAAAATATTAAAACAAAATGTAAAAATATCAAGGAATTGCTCAGGAAATAACTGTAATTTACATGCAAAAAAACGGGAAGCAACCATTGGCCAAAATCATACAAAAAAACCTCGGAAAACCAATACGTTTTGTGCATACCCATGAATTTTTTGATAAAGCCCATTCTGCTGAACTGTTCTGAATACACAGCAAGCCATCAAGTTTTATTGCAAACAAAACTGGTAATGTATGAGAGTTATGTTTTTCCGTGGCGTCAATTCTGTGATGGTTGCTGTCAGAAACATCTATTTCCACCTTCACTTTTAACTAATTTAGGCCAAACCGACTCTCTGCAGTCCGTTGCACACATACATCTGCACATACACACGCACAGACTCAGATACAAGACAATAAACACAGTTGCACACACATCCGGAGACAAACAAAAAATAGCACTTAGTTCTACTCAATGAGCTCTACCACCTCCCCGTCCTTCCCCTGCTCCCTTCCACCACTTCCGGAATATGGCACTATATTTTCTAGGGTGTAAAGAAAATAACGCACCTGACTGATAAAGTTATATTTTGCGCTTGATGCCATTCGACAAAGTGTCTGGAGCACCCTCACACAGAGAGTTTCCTGCTCGTGTTGCAACAGCGATTTGCAATGTTGGATCAATCTGAACACAGAAAAATTAATTATGTACGTGTCAGTAAATTGGCGAAGAATTTTTTTATCATAAAGAAGTTTTCGATGTTTTTTAACAAGAAAATAAAATTACTTTGCAATAACACCACCATTTTCGCATTTTTCGAATAAATCCGACCCAACAGTAAAAAGCCTTTCTGGAGCATGCAACACGTCCACAAGCACCGATGTTTCAGCCGCTTGTAGCGGCAGTGCGAATACCTTGAACTCGATAACCATTGCCTGAAAAAAAAGCAAAGAATTTTTATGTCATACAGTCATAAAAGGAACGAATGAGAAAGACTTTTATGCGCTTTGTACTGTAACAATTGCACAAAACGTATATTGTTAAGACCTTGTCTGTGTGTATGGATATGTATGTATATATGTGTGTGTATCCTGAGTGCGTTTTATCGAGGGTTTTCAACTCAGGAATCAAAGAAGCTAGGAAGCTGAAATATTAGGTAATGCCTCTATTCGCACGTGATCTCGTAAACTTAAATTCGACCCTACATGCGCCTAGGCTTCATGTGCTTTCACGTGAAGGTGTTGACACCAAAACTAACTTGAGAATTACGAAAGCTAGCAAGCTAAAACTTTAGGAGAATGTTTTCTGCAGCGTCTGATCCCGTAATTTCAAATTCAGCCCTCAAGCACGCCTAAATCTCATATGCAGATACGTAAAAGTTTTGGCGCAAAAATTATTAACTCGGAAACAAGGACCGCTATACCCCCAGGAATGCGTGGTTCTCGCGTATGGCTCCACGAAAATTTTTGGTGGGAAAGTCGTTAGCTCGGGGACCAGAAAAGCTGGAAAGCTGAGATTTTAATGAAATTTTCTTTGTCCAAGTGTCGCGTAGTCACACAATTAACTTCCTAAAATTCAAGGATCAGTATATCACAAATTCCAGCTGCTGAGATTCCAAACGATCTTACTGCAGCACGGAATACTGCAAGAACACTTGATCGCACAGGCCCACGTGGTGTGCGTCACCAGTGATCAAACCCCGCAATCATGTTTGTGTTTCGAGATTGGCCCAATAATAATAATTGCTGTAATGATGCATTTTCTACACAGTTACCCCGCAAGTTTTTGTCGCTAACGGTACTGTTTTTTCCGAGGGATATTTCTAGTTAAGCGAATTGAGACTGGCTACCACTAGACACTTCGGTTGCGGTGTTGCATCAAATTTCACATGTTCGTGTGTGGGGAGGAACGTGAAAGTTCTTGTGCGCGATCACCCAAAAACGGTTGTAGGTCATTCTCTGAAAACTTCAGCGCTCTAGCTGCTTTGGTTGCGACATTACGTCAAATTTTGCGTATTTGTACGTGAGGCATGAAAGAAGCGTGGAATTTGTTTTCACGTCCACTTGGTCAAATGCCACCGTCGATCACGTCTAAAATGTTTTAGCCCTCTAGCTGCTCCAGTTCCGAAGTTTCAAATCTGTGTGTGAAATTTTCACGTGTTCTTACGTGAGATGCAAAGGGGCTGGAAAACTTTACGGGCGCATCAGTGGGCGACAAGCAATGCTCCAAAATTGCAGCTTTCTACAAACGTACCGCTCAGCCCAAATCTGGAGTTGGCACGATACCAGCTTAAAATCTGATGTGTACGCATATGAAACCTGAGGGTGCGTGAAGACTGAATTTAAAATCTTTGAGTTGAACGTGGTCAAAGAACATCTTCGTGAATTTTCAGCCTTTTAGGTTGCGCCGTTCCCGAAATTGCTTTCGCGCCAAAAAGCTTTCACATGCCCGCGCATGAGAACCACGTAGGCACAAGGGTCCATTTTGAGCATAAGTGCTCGCACTTACGTCTAGATTAACTTACCAACGTTTTAATCTCGTAGCTTTTGCAAGTCTCGAAATGAAAACTCGGAACAGATGCACAAACAGACACACACAAGCAATCCTTGGAAAATATGCATTTTTGCATCGCACAGATGTAAAAACGTATAAAATCTGGATGTTTGAGATACCTGGTAACAGGAAACCACATCACTGAAACTTTCGGTGGTGCGCATGGAACGTGATGTAAGTAAACGCGCTTTTGACCGTGCATTTGCTTGACTGATATTGATAAAACGAGCCGAATGAGCGGCTGACTGCCAGCGCTGCTTAGCGGTTGCAGCGGAGGATACTGGTGGCATAGACACATTGGCTGGTAGCATAACTCCATTATCTTCCGCTGTAATTTGTCCTGTGTTACAAACGTAGATTGTTGCGTTAGCCAGTAGAAAAATAATAGTTGCGTGTATCCAGCTTTTTAAAAAGTAACTTAGCAAGGTTTACCGCATTTGCTGAGACGCTTGACGCACTCGACCACGCGGTACCAACTTTTTGTCGCATTCTTCTTCGTCAGTTCAAACTGTAGTTCACCAAGACTTTGAATCAGTTTTGAAAATGAGCCACGGTGTTGCTACAATTTTCAACAGTGAACATAATTCATAAGCTGGGTAATCCAATGGAAACTGCAAAATGGAAACTTCTTGACGCTGCATCAGGAAAAGCTCCGCTAAACCAACCTGAACAACGCCAAATGAAACGTAAAGATAAGAAAGAAAATCACAAAAAAAAGCCAAAGCGGTACCGTCACATCCATAATCGGTTGATCAACAGAGGGCTTTTCAAACAGTTTAATCAATACTTCAGTGACTGTGTGGCATACATATTTCTCAAGTGCTGAATTCGGTAACAGGCGAGGCATCTTCGTTCGTAACTTAAAAAATATGTGATTAAACTCCTTTCGAAACAAAAAAAAAGACGAAACTTTCAAAATTTATTTCTGCTTTATCCATGTATCGATTCGCTCAACTTGCTGACAAGTAACTGTTCTTGATTGTAATGTCAACCGCTCTCCATAATCATAACATTTGAAATTACAATCAATTTTCTACGAAAATAAAAATCTGCACACAGCACTGAGCTAACAGGGGGATGAAGAGTATCAAAACTGATTGCTCGGCGAAAATGGAGAAAACGAAGTTGGGTTTACTTCATCTTAGGTTTGTAATCTTAGCGTGCTGTTGAACTGTAAGGTCTCGACTCAGTAGGATAAGACCCAGGCTGAAACGCACCGGGCGGGCCCGTGCGATCATGCGTTTTTGCACAGGACTTGAAGTACT